AGTGTTGTTCCATTTACATTCCATGAAAATTAACGAAACAGTAGGATTCAAAGCTCAAACAATTTCCTCATGTTCTATCCTTAGACATTTGCAGTTTGGGTCCTGGTGTCACTGAGAAGCATTCTTTGTTATTTTTCTTCCAGTATACTATTAATGCATAATACTGTAACTTTCAATTTAATTCATTGTAGTTTTAAAAGAGCATAAATGAAATGGTTCATTACAGTAGGATGGAATAGCATCACTCCGTTAGGCTACCCATGCTGTTATCTTACTGTACATTTTTTTCAGCATGTCATCATTCGGGGCTTCTGACCACAATTTTTGGATTTGGTCATTCAGAATTCTTATACAGTTAATTTTAAATAAAATGCGTACAATAACAACATCGAGTCCTGAAAAATATCAGTTTCATATTGAAGATGTTGAGGAAAATATATATAATTAAACTTTATCAGCATACTCTGATGAAGTTTAATTAGTTACATAAAGTCAGCTCCTGGAATAATGATTATTGGAGATGCTAAGGCCACAAGAATCTACTGCATTTTTTGCAAATTTGCACTCATTTTATGAAAACTACCGCGTATTTTTGTTAGCATCTCCAATAATAGTTGCATAATGTTTAATTAGTCATTTAGTTAATGCTGTATTGTTTAATTAGTCCTACATTTCCCGTACATGAATGTTTTCTCAAAATTTTAGATTCATATTACATTACTGTAAAGTGTGAGTTGCGTTATAACCTGCGTACAAATAAACATTAAACGCAAAGAAAAGTATATGTTAAAAATCAGATATTCTGTAGCGAGGTACGTAACGTACGCTGTTAGGAAATTTGTATAATTAACTACAGTAAGGAAGCAGATGAACATAAAAATTATCATTTTATTCAAAATATTAAATATAATATGACTCATAGACATTATATATACAGGGTGTCCTTCAATTCATGGACCAAAGTTTAAAGGTAAGTATAATACCTATAAAAAAAAATTCCGCGTAGCAATGTGCTGCCGGAAATGAAAAGTGAATGCTCAAAAACAGGAAATGCTGAGCAAATGAAAAAAAGCTCTTTATGTGCATAATATTGCAATGATTGCTGAAATGTTCGACCATTAACAGTGCTAAAGCCCTGGCAGTGTCGTTTCAGGGATCAGGGAAGGTAAGAGGGCAGTGTCACAAACAGTTATGCTGTATATAATTTTCTAAAAGATTTTTAGAACAGACTATATTACAAATTTAGTAGCGTAGTTTAAAAAAAATCGATTTTGAGGAAGAAAAGTATTGAATATGGAGGTTTATTTAGTTTGTATTATCAAATTGCCTGCAAAACTATTTTATTGAGTCTAAATGGCAAGTGAGCTTCAGACAATTATTTGCTGTGAGAGAATTTCGTACATGCTGAATTTGTGCGTGCGTTTTCTGAGAAAGCAGACATGCATCTTATGTATAGAGCTGCGACTTGTAACGGAAAAGAAGTGTTCAGGTTTTACTAAGAACGTTTTACCCAGCAGTATCATAAAATGTTTTCGCGTTTGCACGTCATCTTTGCGAAAGCAATTTATTTCATGTCAAGAGACTGGAAGCCTGTCGTTCGAGAAATGGAAGATCGTATTCTGAGAGAAGTTGAAAATAAAACCAAGCACTAGCACAAGACCGAGTACATGAACTACAGGCGTAAGTAAAAATACCGTATGAAAAATTTTGCATAAAGAAAGAAAGACCTTTTTTCGTACCAATTACAGAGAACGCAAGCACTGAAGGCAGCTAATTATCTTCGGCGCGTAGATTTCCGCCCTTGATTTTTTGCAGCAGAATACATTCACTCCGAGCTTCTCTGCAAACGTACTTTTTGCAGATGAGGCCACCTTTGCTCCAGAAAAGGTGTTTTTATTTTGTGCAATTCCTATGTGTGGGCCACCTCTACTTCATATGCTACACGTCCGCATGTTTTCTAGAAGCAGTTCTCTGTTTATGTATGGGCGAATATTGTGAATGATTTCCATACTGGTCCATGCTTGCTACCACATCTACTCAACGGCACGACGTATCCAATCTTTCTGGAAGAGGTATTACCGAAATTACATGATAGTGTTCCAGTTGCTGTTCGAAATGCCATGTGGTTTCACCAATATGGAGCTCCAGCCCATTTCCGCAATAATGTACGGAATTATCTCAGTGCCACCTTGGCTGCTTAAGGCAATCGTCTACGAGACTCCATTTGACTCTGAGTTGACAGCGATTTTGACATTTTTCATTCGACACAATTTTACATTTGACGATTTTCTCATTTGACAGCGATAGAGATTTTTGCAATGAGGAGCTCTTTGCAAAACTCTCAATCACTGCTGCAACTGCTAATAAAACATCTGGCATCTTCGAAACGGCCTGCATCGAAATGCCTGTATTCGATGTTGATGGTGTTGTATTTAGAGAACTTACTGTAATATTAAGTAACAGCTTTTAAGAACTTTAAAGCTCACATAATATTACAGTAAGAGAGAGGGTAAAGAGCTTTTTTCATTTCCTCAGCATTTTCTGTTTTCCGCCTACACTTTTTATTTACGACCCCACATTGCTATGAAAAAAATGCTTCTTAGTATGTTTTTACCTACTCTTAAAGTATGGCACATGAATTCAGGGACAGTCTGTATAATTAAAAATAAATCAAACAATGTTGTCTCGAAGCAAATAAAAAATAAATATTTTATTAATTAAAGCAATGATGTAAATTCAAATTATCTATTGTTATTGTAAATTAAGCATATTTTAGTTTATGCCAATAAAATAAAATAAAGGTTTAAATTATAAAAAGTTACGTTTATTGCTTTTAAATCACATAAATGTTAAGCAAAAAGTTTAAATTTGAGAGATGAACTAAAAATATTATTTATATCATATAATGTAACAATGTTTCATTTTCGAAGACGCGTTGTTGGTAAATTAAAGATCTAATGTTTCGTGATGCTATTTGTTGGACGATAAATGTAGTACAGTGGTACACTAATATGAAATATATATGCGGTAGAATATCCAACATATTATAATAATACAAGAGTTTAAAAAAAATTCCTGTAAAGACTTTCCTCACATAAATGAAATAAAGATTTAAATCTCTAAGGAGTACATTTATTATTTCTATATTTATCGATTTGTTAAGCAATTACAGTTATAATTTAAAAGCTTAAATTTTTTTTAAGTTTAATTACAATTTTAATCTTATGCCTCAGTGAACGCCAACACTCTGTGAGCATGTTGTTTTCTAAATCACGTAGAAGTTAAAGATCTTATGTTTTTTTGAATGGTAATAGTTTCCAAGTAGTTTCGATGACAAATATCCTAGTTGTTGAAAGAAATGTAACTGTCTGAAAAACAGAAAACGTTCCTCTAGAGACTGCAAAACAGAAGAGTATTCAGACTATACAGTTCGAAAACACACCGCTAAATATAAAATATAAGCAGAAAAAGATTCTAAAAATTTGCGACCATAGTTAGAAAACGAAAACCTAATTTTCGAGTAATAAAGTATTACCTGGTTAGACTTTTTCCATTTCGCTTTACGTAACACAGCAACAGTAATTAACTATAGAAATAAATTTAGACTGATATCTAAAACTAGAAATCCTGGCGATCATACGAAAGGACCGCTGTTTTGATATTATAAATTGATGATTATAAATTGATTATAAACAGATGTTTGCTAACGCAAACAAATGTTCACGTTCCCCCTGACACGCTCAATTTGCGTTCAGTTGTAAACCATTTCAAAAAGAGATGATCGCTAGTGCAAACGAATTTTCACGTTCCCCTTGACACGCTCAATTTGCGTTCAGCTGAAAATTCAGTTTAAAATACAATGTCGGAATAAAATTGGGCAAAATTTTAAACTCTTTACGCGAAAGGATATTTAGCATAGGAGTTTGGGAAAACCTACCTGATGAGATGTACTACGCACAACTGGTTAGTTGGTTTCGTCTCTTTTAATTTCTCAACATTTGCACGTTTCTAGGTAATTCATATATAGTAATCATGCATAATAAGCAACAACTGTATGAATTAAAAATATTTAAATGCTCTTAAATGCCATAATAATTTAATTAAAACAATGATAACTGCATGTATGGTATTAGTGTATACGGACTATTTGAATGCCGTGGCAACTTCACCCCCATTGACTAGTACAGTTATGCAAGCAACCAATAAACTATCGGCGATAAACAGACACTTAAGCCGCATATAATAATGATGTATTGAATAACGAAAGGTGTTTTTATTTTTTCTCACCTATAAGTCACACTTAAGTTTATTATTCCAAAATCAAAAGACTTTTTCCTATAAAATTAAATTCATCATGAACATATCGTTTAACTTAAGGAAATTCAATATTTTCCAAAGTAAAGGTAAGCTTCGTAAATTAAAAACTGAAGACAAACGAAGAGAAAATGTGTCCTTTTATGTTTTTCAGAATACAACTTGTGTCATAATGTACTTCGACGTTAGAAAGTATAATATATATATATATATATATATATATATATATATTGTTCTAGTTACATTAAATTATGCATTTATTAACCACGTAACATGGAAAATTTCCAGTTCTTAGATATGATGATATTCGACGTAAGTCTATAATATATCTTTCAAATTAAACAAATAGAGCATTGTTTAATAAATAATAACAAAGCAATAAAATAATAATAATGTTTAATAAAACAATGCTCTGTGTTTAATTTTCATTGTTTAAATATCTGGGCATTAAACAAAACAGTGCATAGTTTAATTAACTGGGCGATACAAATTCAAAATATGTTTCTTAATGATTCGTGCTTTTATTTTATATTTTAATAATGGTGTAACTGATGAAATTCATAATATACTAATATATGAGTTTTATTTTATGAATAAATGAAAATTTTCATACAAAATTCTTGTAAATATTTCAATTTAATCATGGCTCACTAAGCAAACAGATACATATTTGAATCTCTGATATCCCCTTTCCATCATCTCTTGCTATTTTAAGTCTCTATAGATAACAAGTGATAAAACATATGGATATACAGCTCCATTCCAGAATCTTTCATAACAGAGAGGAGATTCAAGTGCATTGCATAAAATTATTGACGCTGTGAAAGAAAGAGGAAACATGCAATTAAAAGACTTTTATTCTTCTTGAATTAAAAAATTACATGTCATTGTAATGAGTATATTGCAGCGTAGATAACTGTGTAGAAAAATAGTATGTAAGTCATTTTATTGTGCTTTGGTGATCACTTCATGTGTTGTAAATAATAAATTCTTGTTCATATTTGAATTTTCCTCGATAACTGAACAAATTTATATAAATATATACTCCGTTATTTTAATTAGTAAAAAATATTTCTGATGCCAATAATTAGATTTGTCTGTAAAGAAGAATAACTTAAATTCCAACTTAACTGGGAGTCATACTCAAGATTTTTTTATTTATATATCTTGATCGCAAATAAAATTTTGTTTTGAATAATATATTTATGTAATTTATTTATGTAAATACAAATTTTAACATTTGATTATAATTTTTTCATAAACGAATATTAATTCTCATTTTTTTTCCTTTCAGATTACCTTAAACATATATGCATATACTGTCGATTTTCTGAATTTTGATACAGCCATTTCATTGACATTTAAAAAGGACTGGTGCTGCAGGGGAATTGCTTTATTAAGAAGACCTAGTTGATATCAACATAAGATATAACAAAAACAGATAAATTTAGAAAAGCATCAATAGCATGAGAACCATTTTTATTCGTCAATGGTAATCTCTTGCGATCACAAATGCGGTTCTCTTGCGGAGTAATATCCTCATTCAGTCCATTTATTCACTAAAAATGTGCAGCAGTTTCAATAAAATTCACCGAGAGGGTGATCGATAACCGTTATGGTAACCCTGTACCGACAGGTCTGAGACTAGTAAAAGCGCCATCTCTAGCTCTTCGATGAAAAATGTTTGCCGCCAAAAAAGTAAAATAAAAAATCATAGTTAATGGTTTGTGTTAAAGCTGGAAGGGATGTAAGCTACTGGAAAAAGGTGGAGCCTACTTAGTGCAGTTCGCGACTTCTTCCCACTTTTAAAAGCCTGTAATATCGATATAATTTTATTTGTTTTAACTCGCTTTTATGTCCAGTTTCACAGCTTCTTTTTTTTCCCGCCTTTAGAAACTGACGCAAAAAGATTACGTTTGAATAAGTTACAACATCAGTAGAAAGTTACAAAAATACTATATTGTGATTAATACAGTAGAACCTTTTTCATATCTATAAAACAAATACTATCGAATAAGACTACATGAAAACGCAACTTTCGGGAATACTGTAGAGACATTAGGTATTTTTGGAGTAAGAGACATGAAAAACTTTGCATCTGCCTACGCCGGGAATCGAGCCACGGACCTCTGAAATACCGGCTCAGTGTACTGACCACTACGCCACGAAGGCACGCTAGGAGGGCGGGAGAAATACCTTATAATACAATATTAAAAAGATATAATACACTCTTTTCGTACGTCTTTTTATTTACAGAATAATATTTTATCCTTCCGTTATTAGATGATCCTCGTTCTGCCGTATTCAAATAAACAAGCAAACCGACGGTTTTTAACTGAAAAGCAGTTCTTTTGCAACCATACTTTCCCTCCTTAAAATGAAATAACGAAGAAATGAAGGGTTGAACAAATCAGCGTTGTAATAATTGCTGTTGGGACTTATTTTACTTATTTTACTCGTCTGAGAGTAGCATCTATAAACATTATTGAGGCCAAGACCGTTCATGAATTTTACTGTGGCAAGAGTTGCGCCTATCATTGTCCTGAGCCATTTTATAGGTGACAGCACGAATTTGCCCATCCACATCCCAATTTTGAAAGAGAACTCTTTGTCTTTTATTAACCTCACAAAAGGACTTTCAGCTGGACAGTATTTTAACTGTCCCATAATGCAAAGGCATTATACACTGTGTTCACAAAGGCATTATACACAGTGTTTTATTTTCGCAATGTCTTAAATATATATTTTCAACTACAAGAATGTTTAACGCAAATATTAATGTTTTGGCACTTTTTAATTTTAAGAAATGACTTCCTTAAATATTAGGAAATCTAATTTTTTGATATGATTCCAATAATTATAATTAGGATTTTTTCCCTCGTTCTAAAATTTAAACTACAAATTGGACTCCCGGAACGATCCGCTAAATATGTTAGAAGAATTCGAGCTTGCTTTTTCCCTCTTTAAAATACCATTCAATGATACTAGTATTTCTAGTGTCTTTACTTATAATTTTATTACATTTTGTACACTGAAAGAATTTTTGCACAAGTAATTTACAAGTTTTCGAAGTCTAAAAACACATTGTTAACATTCTCTGGAAAATTTATTACCTTAGAATCACAATCTGGTATTAGCACAAAAATTCAGTATCAAAATAATTTTCATTTTTAATTAAGCACTATTCTTTAGAGTGAAAAATTATGTGATTATATTACGAGTTGAAAAACTAAGCCTCAGTTCTGAAGTTAGTCAGTGTATCCTCGAATACGATTCTGTAGGATTATGTGAATAAGATTTTCCTTTTGAAAACATTGCATTGTTCAATATTTTTCAAAATAATCTGCATGGAAATGCAGAACAATCTCTTAATATCAGAAAGATTTTTCAAAGCTGACGTTTTAATTTACTTGCATATTTTACATACATCACAAAACAGATTTCGTTTCTTTCAAAATGTTTAAGTTTAAAAGGACAAAATATGAGTATTAGCATCATTTTAAACATTTTGTAACTAGTAATATATGTCTGTGACCACATCCGTGTCTAAATATTTTTTCACCTAGAGGCAAAATGGTAAACTTGTGTCCTTATGTACCATCAAATTAACTATATCTGAACACTTTTACATTCAACAAAATTAACTACATAAAAAAATGGACATACTAACTCTAATAACATTTTTATCATAGTTTTATATATTCAGAAAGTACTGCATAATTTTGATCTGAAAATGTTAAAAATAAAATGTTTGATAAACAACGAGTAACGTTGAAATAACATAAGTAGTAGTGCCAATAACTACTAATAATGCATTAATACCATAATAATAGTTATACATTTAAGACAAAAAGCACTGCACTAATATTTAAGCCTTTCTTCAACTGAGGTTGCATTATTTAATATTATTGTCAATTTTACTCTTGATGAATCAAAACTGAGAGTAATATTTCTAAAATCTACTTGGTTGTTAAATTCATGCTCTATATAGAAAACAACAGTTTTTGAAATTTTTCCCTGGCCAAGGTAATATTTTGTATACTTTTATTACTATGTAAGATTTTTCACTGTGTAAATCTCAATTACTGTAGAAAGTGACTAATCTGAAGAACTAGTTAGCGAATAATCGCTTAAGTTTGTGTGAGAAGGAACAACAAGATGGAAGGGTAACTAACCCATTATTATTTCAATAAGATTTAACAAGACTCCGTCTTGGAGTGTACAATCAAAGCCGACACTTGGGCTTGAACTTAAGGTACTAAGAATTAAACTAAAACTAAGGTTAACTAAAGAAATATAGCCAAAGCTATCAAGATTCTAATGCAGTTGGCCCCTTAAACACCAGATGACTGCGAAGCTATCTAGGGCCTGAGTACGGCCGAGCGTAATAACAGCTTTGAGAAAGAGAGTGGCCAAAAGGCAGACGTGAGTAAATCTGATTCTCTCTCTCTAAGACCAAAGAACTTCGCGTTTAAATACCTCATTATGTATTCAGATCGTGATTCTAAAATTACGTTCTGGCCAGAAGTAGTAAGTTGAAGTTAAGAATTTGACAGGAGAGGAACTTAAAATTTAACTCTTAATAAAATTAACATAATCCTTACAACTATAAGTTTGCTTAAGTATTTTTCACTTTAGGAAATAATACTTAGCTAAGTAAAAAACATTCTTAACGCAATTTTCGAATTCAGATAAGAATGAACTTCACAGCATTCGTCAGTTACCTTCAAATAATCTAATTTAGTGCCCATAATTATTGAAACTGCGGACTTCTGTTAACAATGATTAGATATCGAAAATTTGTTTATTTCTTCTTTACGGACCTAAGATTCGTGTTCTGCGATGCGAAACTTTAACGCTGTTTTATCTTAACCACATCGTCAAGATACGCCATAAAATTCCCCAAAAGTTAAAGTCAGAAATGGAATCTTTCAGAATCGAACAACGGATTATAGTGACAGATGAGAATTTATTGAAAGTATTTTATCAATAGATAAAGAAAATACTGAAGAATCCTCGCAATTTTGTAACTGCTAGAAGAGTTTAATGGAAGAGCAACGAAGTCATTAATGTTATTTCTAATAGCAGAACATCTTGTTTGCTTAGCCGGGTGATATGATTTAGCAAGGAGAGGTAAACAAACAGAAAAGGGCTTATGGTAAACAGTAGAGCAAAAATCAGATTCATTTCGAATTATTAAAACCAATCAGCTAGAAAAAGTGATTTGCCTACCCATAAATGCTGCGCCCAATACATATCAAAATTTTATGCCGAAAAGGAAGAAGGTAATTTTTTCACTTTGTTTTAACTGTTTTATTATCTGTAACGTAAAGCAAATACGATATCACGGGCATCAGACGAAATGTGGAAAATTTTACGCTTATAAATCGGTTATAAACCAGTGAAGATATTGTTCTAAACTTGATAACTGAATTAACTCTTTATGACTGGTTTATATCTAGTTGGCCTAACCGGTCTATTTACAACTGGTTTGTATTTCTAACTTGTTTACGACGGTATATTTTGACATTTTAAAGATACCTGATCCTTTAAGATAGCTTCGTTATGAATGAAAGTTAAGCTTTAGCTAAAGTTAGCTTCTTTATAGAAATACGAAGAAAACTCTAATATTTCTTTATTTTCAGTTCCTGTTATTGTCCTTTAGCACGTGGCACAGTCGGATGGACAATATAAATCCATTAAGAAGCAACAGCAAGTAATTACAAAAACAGAAAGTTGTAATTTAAAGCACACCTTATTATGCAATAAAATATGTTTGTTTTATCACCGCGTTTAGGCTAAAATGCCGATATGTTTTCTAAGAGAAATGAACGAGCATATGTTATTGAGCAAAAAGGGAGGGTTTACTTATGCAGTTGAGCGAAATGAAGAGGCAGATATTGTTTCTACTTAAGATCCGAGCTTAGTGGCAGAAAGACTATAAAGTTTTAAAGCAAAGAAAAATAAAAGACTATTATTTTAATCTTCCTAATGATAAAACGTTCTACGTGAGTGTTGACTACTGCTGCACCTGATACGGACGGTAAAAGGCCGGCTATTATATGCCTGTTATCTTAACCGTCATAACGATTATTCCAGGAATACGGATAATTGAAGTTATGTTGTTTACCTATGACTACTGAATTTCTTCAGCTGCGAAATAATCTGAAGTTAAGGTCTTAATAACTAAAGGAATAGGTTTCCTGTTCTGGTTTTCAGTCGTTGAACTATCTGACACCGTCGTTAAGCTTAGAAAACAATACCTGAGTTATTGTTATAAATAATACGGTAGAAACGTTAGAAATAACCTGCTAGTAAAATTCAGTAAATTTATAGAAAGCTCAAAACAAAAATTTTAAAAAAATATTGGTTCTATTTGTTTTAATTAGATAAACACCTCTAGCTTTAAACTTAAGAGACAGAACCAAGACTAACACACTGAAAACAAAATTGAGGAAAATTATACATATTACATCGAAAATAATTCCTAGAACTCAGTGTTGCTTATCTCCGTTTTCCAATTTAGAATTACTTTATAAAATGTAACAATAAAAGTAGTATCATTTTTAATTCAACTTAAATATTAAAGATTCCTCCTCCTTCGTTAAAATGAAAACTTTTTTCACAGCTAAATTTATATACAGATTTTTAGGAATATACAGTTTGAAAATTATGTTAAATCTAAATAAATCATAAAAAAAATTTGAAATGTTTTCTGAAGCTGTATTGATTGAAAACTGTGCGAAGGAAACAAAAAATGTGTTTACTTTAAGTGCACTGACATCGAAAAGCAACGCACGTCAAATAAACGTCTTACTGTAAATTAAACTACACTTTTAATAATTGCATCGTCTTTTCCTAAATAGCATTGTATAAGTGATAACAAAAAGCATGCACCTAATTTGCCTCTTAGTATTAATAACACACTGTGTTAGAGCTCTGGCTGTGTTGCTAGACAGATGAGCCCTTTCTCAAAACCAACGACAGATCTATAAACTATATACACTACAGAAAGTATTCTGAAAGAGAACATGACGATGGCTGTTACAATATGAGTTTACAGGTTCTTCCAAAATGGGCTCACATATGGTAAAAGGAGCACGCAGATGTGCATTACTGGATAACAGGCCTGCCATTTCGAAGATATATTATAAAGACATGGTTTGGTGTTGCCTTTATACGATGCTAAATAATAAGCATCAGTAGTAAGTATTATATGTCTGGTATTTTGATCTTTAAGCCAACAAAATTTATTTGCTCATTGTAATGCGAAAATCTTTTCAGTTACTGTATAGTTTTATGAAGAATAAAATAGATTGAAAATATACTACTCACCGTTATCGCTATTGCCAGCTTCTTCACATGAGTACGAGTCGGAACAGCTAGAGTCGTATGAAGAACATCCTGCAGATGTCCGGGGATAATCCGTGGCACTGTCGTCGGATGGCGTCCATTGAGTGAATCCTTCTCTCAGAGAGGTACCATAAGATTCAACGTTCAAAGTGCTAATGAGAACAGAGCCATTTTTCTTGAAGTTCTCAACGAAATTTTCAATTTGCGTTTCGATTTGACTGTGGTATGAAATCAGTGGCATGCTTAGGATGACACTGCACAGTTTTAAGTGGTACACTCTTTCCAGCACATGCACGAGTAGACGCAATAATGAAATAAGTATACGTGAGTTAATATGCAATATTTATTGCCTTCTTCCTCCAAATGAAAGAGTTTTATAATACTTTAAATGTGAGCGACACTAAACAACCCTGGATCCAGGCATTATGGCAGTTTAATGGTTCAAAGCCTTTAAGTATTTTATGGCACGATATTTTAATGGTATTCTCCAGAATATGCTACATATATATCAACTGGTGCATTACATTTTCGTATGAAAATCTTTGAAAGTGGAATTATGTAGAATAACTAACAGCTGTAAATGCCACACGAATATAATATCTAATGTTATAGAAATTGTGGAAAATATCTAGTCTACACTGTGTGCAGAGAATCTAATGTATTTATGCCTACCTCTACCGTGCTTTGATAAAAAGTAGGTAACATATACACGAAATGCAGTCACAGTCACTGTTCATTGGCAGTTATAGATTTCGAGCACAAGGTCTTGAGCGTTGTTATTACAAAAAGCATAAATTCTTTGAGCAAGAATGTAACTTCTGCACAAGCAACAAGCAAAGGTAATAGTAGAAAAATCTCGCGGTGCAGCTGTGTAGGGAAAGCCTATTCGACTACAGTATGCACGTTTTATAAACCAGATGACTAAGAGTTAGACACGTTTGGTCATAGGTGTTCATATGATACTAAAATAACGTTCAAAATGATTTGTAATGGGCAGTAATCATGCTTTTATCATAAAATATGGCAACGTTTCATATTAAATCGTTCCTGCTTTTACTTCATTAGACTAAGAAGTTATAATATTATCAAGAGAGCATAATATCGCTTTCGTACAGTTTGAGAAATGTTTCTGATTGTTGCAGTCCCGTTAGGTCTCGCTGTGAAGACCATTTAGTCAGAAATTTCAGGAGTAATATCCATTCCTGTGAACTTTGAAATCTAACGATTGTCTCAGTTTTCAAGAATTGTAAATGTTGACGATTTGAATGTACACCTGAAAAGAAAAACATAACATGAGTTACATATAATAGAGAAATAACGCAAGTAAGATAGAGAAAAGTTATTCTCAAGCACAGTCACAAAAAGCCAATATGTAAAAGAAACAAAAATATTTTTTTCTTTTTTCTCCTAACAGAATATGTATCGAAAAATATGAAATTAATAACGTGTATTGTGAAAAGGTATAGTTCCAAGAAAATATGCCAAAATCTTGATTTTATTAATAAGTGCGTATTTATGAACTTTCACTCTGAATGCAGAAAAATATTCTTCTTCTAGTTCCAGTTTATCCGACACTTTATTAAATGCATTCAAAGCTAGTCCTATGAATTATTTGAATTGAATGTTCTCTATTTTTCACTTGAGAATGAAAATAAACTTTTACGGAAACTTATAGCATGTGTAAATACCAGCTATATTCATTACATGGTAAGTTAAATTTATAAGACTGAATCGCTGAGTTTGGCAATATCAGCATAAATTACAGCAATGTACAACTTTTGTCTGGCGCCAGGATGAACTGATTAATATACTTGGAAATACAACATTATAGTGCGATATGCCTCAATCAAATAAAATTGAATGATGACTCTATGATATAAACTGTTTGCAAACTTTATCCGGGAAAATTCCCATTTTCGCACTTCAGACCTTAAGTGTGGTAAATTTTAAATTTAATTTTTATTACGTGTAATTCATTATTTTAAATCTTATGCAATATTTAACTCTATATTAATATACAAATACTACGGTCAAAATTCTAATATATGTAATTCTAACTTCTATTCATAATGTAGCTTTTTTAATTTGGTCTTCACGTCCTTTATGTGTATGTGTGTGATTATGGCAAAGCTTCGAGGGCTATCTGCCTAAGGGGAGGGATGCCTTCGTGGAGGACTTTCTAAAAGGAAACTGGCTCGTATACACGTTACAAATGGGGAAAACCACTTAAACGCCCATGAAGCGGGCCCGTTCGCGGGATTCGAACCTCGGACCGAACTACCAGTGTTCAGCGAATTTACCGCTCAGCCGCTGGTGGGCCTTCACGTCCTTTATGAAATTTCAGGATGAATCCTTGGCCTCAGAGCAGGTATTTTTAAAGATTACTTTCTAAGAGAAACTGGCTCGGAATAACAAAAGGATACTCAAGAAATCTTATGCAGCTAAATATTTCGCCAGGACCACAATATACACCAAGATATATAAAAAGAGCGTTACTTTAAAACTATTCAATTATTCGCAATAAAAAATTTAGTTTTACAAATATAAGACCAATACTTACATATTAACCCGTCGATCAGCCAAGTAGCGAGACTTAAAACCAATTATGGATGACCACTTCCTTTAAAATTCCGAATAGTAACGACTAGCGACTGGCGACCGTTGCCAAAATTTTCGCGAGTGGTCGACGGGATAATACGTAAGTACCATAATATCTGCTGACAATTTTGAAAACATTTCAAAATATAATTTTATGAAATTGTTCTTTTCCATGCCTCTTAAATAAATGTTGTGTTTAGATGTACGTCATATGGTTTTGATTTTCATACATATTACGTATAAACATACGGATTAGGAGCTTACAAAAGCTCGTCGAATTTATCAATGTTTAACAAAGAATAAAATCAAAATTATTCATATTCATTCTTTTGTCTTTCATTATTGTGCAGGTTTCTGTTAACATTCTTGAATTCTTTGCATTCATCGATCTCAGATTTTCTCGAGTGTCCGGAGTGAACGTTAGTTTTTATAAATGCTTCGATAAATGTTTTTCCCATAAGCATATAACGGCGTAGAAGCACTTTACAGATTTCTGTTTTTACCTATGATAAATATGAAGTTAAATTATTACTTACTTAATAAATTAATTTAAATAAATAATTTTTTGTCTAGCGTGTATGTACCATCCTAAAGTTATGAGGCTAAAATCAAAGCAATTAACTCACAAAAGCTTCCACTCATTTTCAAAAGCGTACTATTCGTTTTTAGTGAGCTTGGACGCGCTCTAATTTTCCACACAGATTCCTTTTTTCTTTTGCTTATATAATGTTTTGACCGAAACGTTTAAAAAGCAGATTTTGATGCTTCATGGTATTCTGCATACACAATGTTTTTCGACATTATGTGAGTATTCGATTTTTTTCTTTGCGCAGCACATCGCATTCAGTATAACGTATATTCAATTTTATCTCATATAATATACGAGCAATGTAACTTAAACACATTTCAGATAATTAAACCAAAGACAGAACTAAAGGCTTAACGAACTTCCTTCAGGAAATAGTAGTATTTACTATTTTAATAAAAAATTATAGTTATGTTAGTTTAGTAAATTAAATAAAGTTGATTATTGTGAAAAATTAACGCTGTTTTTGTCTTTTCGAGGATTTGAACTTTTGCTAACTGGATATTCTAACTACTGCTCTACAACGATAAATGAAAGGAATTTTATAATTCCTTACAACGTGCTTTCTATAAGAATCTTTCCTTTCTTAAACAATTTTCTTTCGTCATTTTTTAAAATAAGAAGTAACACAATAGTATTATCTTAACAAAACTAACATTAGTATTATCTTATTATCACTTTTAATGATGATCATAATTCATCAATTTCAATACGACTTCCTTGTCATACGAATAATTTACAATCTCTTAGATTTAGAAAAATGTATTTACTTGAAATGTCACCAACTCAGATTTCGCACAGTAGATAAGTTTTCAAGAACAAGTAAAAATATAATTTAAAAATAGTTGCTGCCTGTAATGAAATAGAAATTGATTTTTTGATGGAAAGTCCAATGCAAAAGAAAAGTTATTTTCAAATAATTTTTCATAATTAAGAATAGCATAGTGAATTTTTAAATATCTGGAATTTAAAAAAAGATTTCAGATTCAAAAACTCCTATCTTTGGGTATTCTTCGTCATTCCAATCGGTCAAATCCTAACTTAAAAATCCGTTAATCTTTTTAACTCGAAATTTCAGAAAGTAGTTTTATTAATACCCAATAAAGGTTTTCCTTAAGAAGAACACGATTGTTATAATTTCTATAAAATTAGATCATCGTATTAACCTAAGCAGTCTTGAATATTTCAGTTTCAAAGTTCTGCAGATAATTTAGTAGTACATGTTTAATTTTCATCTATGTTAACTCTTCTAATGATCCCTATGTTAACCTATGCACTAATTCAAAATGATTCTGGATAAATGTAAACACTTTAACTGTTACCTAAATACGTTTTGTCAAAATTATACAGCGAATATTAATCTCAAAAACCCAAGAATTTAAATTACATTCTTCTTTTATTAAATTAATTTGCATCATCTTGATGATGCATATTAATTTAATAAAAGAAGAATGTAATTAAATGCTGGTGTATTTTCAAAACTTACATTCTTACTTTGTTTTTTGTTAAACGCAGGTTTCAGACTTTGCTTTAATTAAAAGCTTTAAATATTAAGTAATTAGATTATTTTCTGTTTTTCTTTTATTACTATTACTAACCACATGCAGAGCTCGAGCGATTCGAGGACCTCTTGGGATTCGAATTCGAGAAAATCTTTAATTAAACTTTAATTTCATTTTTATTCATTTATATGCGCTTTTTATTTCATAAACTTATATAAAGTAAGTTATAAATCATTTATAAAAACATGACGCATGGCTGAAAAAAATACTCGGCAAAAGAAATATAATTGCATACATGCTTATCAACTAGATTTCTTGCGTCGTGTCTTTCTGATCATATATAAGTAGCTAAGAGAATAAAAGACCTCTGAACTCTGATTTTTATACTCGTCAACGAGGCTAACTACAGAGGGTTAAACATTTTTCTAAGTGTGCTATGTGAAGACGATCCAATTTCCTTTAAAAAGATGCTCCATGCAAAATCCATCAGCCTGCTTTGCCATGGTTTGTGTTTCATTTGATAGACAAAGGCGTACACTACAAAATACAAAAGGAAGTTTGGAATTTGGAATTACGATTCAGCCATAGCTTATTGACAAACTTAGCCAAAATCACAGAAATTCATGGACCTTATAAGAGATATATTTGTAAGAATCTTAAGTTTTACTAACGTTTATTTTATTTTAAATCTTTACTATCACTTCTTATTTTCTACTTCCGGCCAGAATTATAAGCGTTAACTTATTTATGCAAAAGTTTGTCTGGCGAACGCCAAGTATTTAAGTTGTGGCTTTTTGCCAAGCGAGAGAGAGGAAGGCAGTTAGTCGAAGCAGGCCGCTTACCTTAGAAGTTTTACTCGGTTGCTGGTTGCCTTCCAGGCCAGAGGTTTAATCCTCGTGATAATTTTTAAACGTATTGTAGTGTTCACAGTTCTCTGTACTACATACGGCTTCCTGTTAATATAAGGCCAATCTTCCACGTTTATTATTTCAAAGTTAAATTAGAGTTTAGTTTTATTTTTATATTTTACGTTTAGACCACAAGTAGTGGGTCTTTGTATTCCGAAGTACGGAAAGTTATTGTAAAGAGAGAAAAATAAAGGGTTTTGTATACCCTTCTTGTGTATCCTGTCTACTTCCCACAGTTATTGAACATAGCTTTAGTAAGCTCTCTGTTCC